CATCCAGAGGTGACGGAACTAGGGGGTGCTGTGTTATGGAGAGTAATGTGTGACCGGAAATGGTCTGCAGTCAGTTGGTTGTTACCATGCGCCAGTGGTGTTGGAGTATATAGTACAGCAATATGAAACTATTATGTAGGCCTAATGAAAGAATAAAGTTCGGAGTTTGTAGGGTAGTGAAATGATTATTTCACATTTTAAGTGCTCCCTAAATTCATAAGTGTAAGCTAAATTACGGTGATTAATTTAATTAGCGAAGATATGGAGACTTATTTCGAATCCATCTTTCCAAGAGGGGATGCAAATGATGCTTTGTGAAAATGAGTACGCCGCGGTACTCATTTTCACAAAGAAATACACACAACTGGTTAGCTAACAATTATGTCATGTTACATGAACACCTGGGAAGGAAGGTGCAATCACGTTGTTACCTAGCAAACGTCAGTACTGTATGGTGGAGGGGCTCCTGATGTACTGTGTAGCGGGGGACGATGAGGCATAAGACTAGGCCTAACTAAGACAGTGGAATTATATGTGATAGAAAGTACACTTTCGGAAGAAATAAATTAAGAAAAAAATAATAACTAAGAATAATTCATTTGCAGAGGTACCTTATTTAAGTATTATACAATGCATCTAACAATGCGGCTCTTGTAGCCCTGGCTTGGGCAAGGCATCCATGTGCGAAGCAGTGGTGTTTGTTTATCCATGAAAAAAGCACGCCGGGAAAGTTTGCCTTACCAGGAAAAGGTGACGTATCTACCTTATGACGTATGCATGCTAACTAACGTGAGTGTGACGTCACCAAAAAATGAATATTTTCTATCATAACAAAAATATTAATAACTACAAAGTTTCTGGGCGTAAATTCCCTTAATATGAATGAATGGTTGCTCAATCTCCTTACCATACAAATTACAGCTCCTACTGACGTCTCAGTCGAGAAATACGGGTAGCTGAAGTTTTTCTCGCAAATCTAACTACAAAACCATATCCAAATTTCACGTTCCACTTTTGAGCCTCAGTTGTGCTTCGCACTCGCCGCTGACGGCGGCGTTCCGGGAACCCTGCGTCTAGTAATTCTCTAAGCTCGTACTAGTTTGCATATAATACCAAGTTAGGAATCTTACAGCGAATTAGACGAATTTCATTGGTCATAATTTTATTATTTATTATTTATATCTTTTAACTAGTATCGTATTTCTTGGAGAATTATTATTTTATATTATATTTACAATTCGTGTCAGAAATATCAATGTAATTAGAATTGTTCTTCTATTAACTTTGTATTTCTAATTAATATTGAGATGGTTCTTGATGTTTGTTTTTTTTTTTTATTGTATAAAGTAATTGTTGATGTTCTTGATGTTAAATAAATGTGCATTTTTTTTTTTATTATTATTTTTTTAGCAAAATTGGTATAATAGAATAAACTTTTGAAGAGGTTTGTTTCAATTCCAGGTGCAATTTTCTTTGTGAACTGCGTCAGCGTTCCTTTATCATCTCATCTAAATGTTTTATTCACCTTTGTCAAAGTTGCTGGCTTGGTTGTGATCGTTGTTGCTGGTATAGTGTTGCTTATTCAGGGTAAGTTGATTAAAACCAATCCCAGCAAACACTGAGCCACATTGTCAGAATGTGACGTTAACACAGCGGTAGCAACGTTATTTAGCTAAAAATTACATTATAAAAACGTAGTTGTGGCTCTAACATATATTTTAAACCCAAATTGTGGGGTGTATTAACGTTGCAGTAGCTACACTAACGAATTTGGCAGGTACCCACTTACCCCTGGGTGGAGAGAAGCAATGCAGATAAGGTGCCTTGCCCAAGGACACAAGTGAAATGCACAGCGTGTAATTGATACCCCGACCTCGAGGTAAGGAAACCAAACCGTTCCTGTTGCGGCGAACCACTTCCACGCAATATATATATACTGTATATGTAATTCAAATTGTTAGCTGGGCTAACTGAGACTTGGCTAGTTGGGACTTCAATTTACTAACGTTGCACTGATAGCAATTCTGACTTACAGTCTACCAACTTATAAATCATGCAAATTCACATCCATTGTGATAATTATAAAATTATTAGCTAATATAGTACGTCGTATTGCGTTCTGTTCTTCAAGGATTTGCATCGATCGACGACCGTAAGGGCAAGTGTGTCACCCGGATTTAGATGCGGATTAGGTTGATTATACAACATCATGTAATTTCATGTTGAACTTCTAATAACCGTTTGTTTTATCATGCAAAGGAAACACAGAAAATTTTGAAAATGCATTCCAGGGCGACGGAGACTTCAAATGGATAGAACTACCGCTGTCATTTTATTCCGGCCTTTTTGCATATGCCGGATGGTAAGTTAATAAATTCATTTCTTGTAGACCATCGTATGTTCAGAAAGGTAGTGGTATAGTATACAATATCAGAGCTAAGATAACATTGCCCAGACACAAGGTAAGATTGGTTGTAAGTACAAAACTAGTCACAAAGTATGTGAATTGGTAATGGTAATAAACATGTATTTCTATAGCGCCATCTACAAAAAAATCGTTTCAAGGCACTTTTAAATCAACTAACATATAAAAATACCTGTAATTCAAATAATTATTGTAACTGCAGTTTCGAACATATAGTAAAAGCAATTATAAAATTGAGATGGCGTCGCCAATTTTAGTAATAAAGCTTCATTTAATTTTAGGGAAATTACAGCTTCTATGACCGAAGAATTAATTAAACCATCAAGGTAGGTACATATGGTTTTATTTCTCTCCCACCCACCTCTCTCCCTCTCTCTCGCTCTCGCTTTCAGGAGTGAGAGGCACACCCACATTTATTTCAAGTAATATTTCTTCAACATTCCATTTCGCAATAATTATTACACAATAACATAATAACAATAAACTTTAAATCCAGAACTTAAAAGTTATATTAATATTGTAATTTACAAACATTGCAGTTACCAGTGTAAATACTAGGATAAAATTAGAAATGATTTAATTTAGATTTTTCATCCCTCTTTTACAATAGATTTAGCTTTTACAAATTATAAATTGAATTATTTACAAAATAATATATAGAACAATATATACAAATAAAAATATTTAATACAAAATATATTTAATTCGAAAAACCTATTAAAAAAATCTTTATATACATCAACTCTTATTTACTTATTGATTATTAAATATTCAATTTTTTTCATTTACGTTGGCAGATATTTTTGGATTCTCGATTTTCATTTTTCTTTGCTGATTTTAATAAGATGATTTGTAAATACAAAAGGCAAATAAATAAATATGTTCAATAATAAGACTGTTTTTAGTTCCAGCGACTATGTTGAACCACCTTAAACCATACTTTAATGTTTCCTCTGCAGGGAAGCACTCAAAAATAGCTGCATTACATTTATATCACGCAGGTTGATTTCAATGTTATAAAGTAAAATAGCATGTTTTTTCATTTTCCATTTCCAAATAAAATGTCATTTTATTGTCACATAAATCAGTGAACAATTACTTAAATTAATTTCACTGTTCCCTGCATAAATCATCAGTGATTATAATTAAGCAATCTTTTAATTTTTTTCTTTCTTTTTTTTTTGTTTTTTTGTTTCGTATGCAGAATTGAACCAAGCTTTGAATTAAATTGACTTTCCACCTGAAGTTATATATTTATTTTCCGATAGTTGTGTTTTAACTTCATGTATGTTTAATAGATCTAAAATGACAATATTATTCAGATTCACCACTGCCTGTAACTTTTTTTTTTATAGAACTCGGTCAAACGTTTCAAATCAGCATAGTCATTTATTTATATAATTTAGTAATATTCACTGTGTATTTGATTGGATACATATAATATTTTGGGGTATACTTTCATTCACCCGTATCTAGACTCAATAATCTTTTGCCCAGCTTAAATATTAATGAGTCTATCAGAGTTGTTCTTTTTAATTTTTCACGCTGACCCTCCACAGGAATGTATATAAAAAAGTTTTCAACACTTGGATTATATATGTAGGCACCTCTATATTTACTATCATCATACTGTTTCTGTGTCTACTGCCCTATCGGGAGCCGTAGATACTATGTCATGATGTAACAATTAAAGATGGCGGAAAAGGCTAAATCCGGTGGAGGAATAATGGGTACTACTACAACTAGGTAGGGGGCGCTCTATTTAAAATCGAATAGTGTTCGGAACTCGAACAAAATTGAGTTCGAATCTCGAACATGCGTTATAGACCAGTATAGAGACCAGCACGCGTTCGCCACGAACGCCTTTTACCATCATTTGAAGGACGCCCTCTAGAACATGGTAGTACTTTTCGAGATCAACGACATAAGGCGGTAACTCCAAGAGTTACTCTTTTTTTTAGTGATAATAGTAGTAGGCCTATACAGAATATTGTTATGAAAGATAATTTTCATGAAAAATCCAGATGCACTACAATAATACACACATCTGCATATTGAAGAACATAAGACTGAATTAAAAAAAAAAAAAACTCCTGTGTAAGGCAGTAGACAATCGCTCCCGCTGGGAGCCTATTTTTGAAATGCAAGAGTTTTAATCTTTTACCAAAGAATAAAATATTTCTTTTTGTTATGTTGACTTTTCGTACTGGGCCCTGTGGGAGACCAGTTGATATGCAACTGAACAGGTTTTCCCAGTATAAAGAATAAAGAAATAAATAAAAATAATAGTTTTAAAGTGTTTTCTAGGTTAAAAACCAATTCACAAACATTTTGATTTACCTTTATTTTATTTTAAACCTGATATTTCACATAATGATTCAATTTCGTTAAAGAATAGTTTTTAACAATTTAATCTCGTGTGAAAATAATTGCATTACATGTAATATGAAATTTTATATGTATGCCACTTTTTAAGATCAGAAAAATGTAAGCTCAATTTTGTCAGTGTACATATTGGAAATTACCTCTCCGGTATATACCATGTCGTTATTATTTATGTTTGAATGTCTATAAAGATTACAAGATTACGGTGCAATAAACACTTCAATTAAAACTCTGTTAAATTTCATGGAACATTTTATACATACTCATAGGCCTATATATCTTTGGATCGTGACAAAGATAAAATTCGAAAAATACACAAGTAATTAGATTTTTTTAGTCACGTAAAATGTTACGTAATATATATCAATATGAATTTTATCTTTTAAAGGACTATTCCCGTCTCAACTCTCATTGCCATGACAATAGTCTCGTTTGTGTTTATCATGGCAAATGTTGCATATTTTACCGTTCTTACTCCTGCCGAGATCATGGCATCTGATGCTGTTGCATTGGTAAGTTTTAAAAATTACATAGTTTTAATCCAAAATCGAATGTAGAAATATGATCTACCTTTATTTCAAGCTAGACGAAAATGCATCTTTCTATCTTTAGTGTATGCCTACTTCAAGTATAATACGCCTATTCATTAGGTTATATTATACTTCAAGTATATAAATACAACTATGAATGTGCGTACTCTTTCTGTGGATGTATCCAAGTGTAAATATAATGATGAACAATAAATGCGGACAACCTTTGAATTCCTAACGTCGACACTGTGGTATAGCAAAAAATATTTTTGGTCTAAGGTTAATGATGATAATGGTGATAATGATGATGATGATGATGATGATGATGAGAATAATGATAATGATGACGATGATGCTAATGATAATAATGTTGATAGTGAAAATGTTAGTGACGGTGATCATGGCGATTACTGTAAGGGTAAAACCATCATGCAATCTCTCATGTTTAAGAGTCTACAAAGGGAAAGGGACTCACGTCTCTGCAGCCAATGCTCCTTTGAACACACATGTAAAACAGGGACAAAAGACAGCACAACCAAAAGAATAGTACAGTTATTAACAATGCCTATGCAAAAGAAAGGGAAAACCTTAGTGAGAACTAACAGCGAAAAAAATGTCGATTGTACAAAAACGAATGAATTAATTTCAGAGAAGCTATCTTGCACCTTGTGGATAGCAAAGGCAAACTAAAAGCAGAACAACGAATCCAATAGTTGAGATATTGTGGATCAAGATAGGATTTCCTGGATTGCCCAAAATTAAAACGAGTGAATTTTCTGAACTCTTTCCATGCACGCTATAACTTTTATTAGGTTTGGGTTTCATGCGAGAATAGCATATTCTAAGATAGGTCTGCATAATGCCTTAAAAGAAATAGAAAAGCTTCAATACCCCGGTAACAGTTGATTATGGACGTAATAATTTGACATGTTGAGATCACTTAGATCTGGAACTATTGTTAGTCCAAGATGACCATTGAGAGATTCCAAAATTTAATAGTACAGTGTTAGACTTTGTGCCACGAAACACAACACATTGAGATCTATGGGATAGAAAATAACATAGCAAACTCCAAAGCTGGCCACAGATCCCGAAAGCGTGAGAACAATGGTTGTAAGTGGTAGTGTTTACGACTCTTTCTGGATTTCCTTAAAATTTGAAATCGGGCGATAAAAACTAATTTTGTCTCTACAGGCTTTGCCTTTGTAGACTGGTACTACCTGGGAAATTTTCCATGCACTAGGTACCTTTCCAGACTAAGTAAATACAGGTTGAAAAAACCCGTAAATGGGTAGCATGACATCTTTAATTGGTTTAGGCACGCGAGATGGGATAGACTCAGGGCCACAAGCCTTATCCGGTTTGAGGCCAGAAATAATTTTTGCAACTTCGGAATGTGTGACACGAACTTCCGATAAGATATCAGTATCTTTAAACTCAAGATCAATTGGAGGATAAATTTGAGATATTTCAGAAAAACAACTTTGGAAAAAGGAATTAAATAATTTTGCAATGTCAGATAAAATTCAAAGTACTACTATGATGCCTGTTTCTAAAACGTTGCTTAGGGCGGTTACAAAGTATTTTGTATCAAGCCCCAGTATCCGGATTATCTTGTTTTTGTAAGATTTATTATTTTCGGAGTTATCCATGGGTTTCTCTCCTTTATTTTTAGCTGTTTAATAGGAATAGCATCATTTATACAGCTCCAAAACATTTCAAGCCATTAACTCCGGGAAACATCAACATCAAAGGGTTGGTTTGCATTTGCAAAAGCTAAATTCCATGGTGCATGCATTAAAATTGCTATCTGCAAGTTGTACATAATCTGCTTTGTTGTAACAAAACACTTTTCTTATAAATTTCTGAGCAAATGTTTTGGGAAAAGTAAAACTAACAATAATGGAACAGAGAACAGAATTGCTTAAACAATCACCAACCCTAAATATACCTTCAAGCTCAACATCAGAAACAAAAACAATGTCAAGCATATTCCCAATTGCATATCATTATTTAACCTCACAACGACAAACACAACCCGAACACGATGATAACCATGGAGGCGACTACACGAAAATGTGATCATGATGTTGACGACAAATGAATCCAACAAAATCCACAGGCCCGATAATTTACATCCTAGGATCATGCCAGAACTCTCTGAGGTTTTAGCCAAACCTTTAAGTGAAAATGTTCTGACTCCATATGTACTGGTAAACCAAACGTAACAGCTATTCACAAAAAGGTGGACAGGAGATTGCCCATAATTTATAGACCAATTAATATAACATGTATATCGTAAACTTCTTGAGACTATAATTAGGGATAAAAGTAAAAATTTGTAATAAATAACTTATTATCACCACACTATAAAAGTAGTATATTTCTTTTATTAATGGACGTTCATGTTCATGACCAGTTGATGAATGTACAAGCTTACCAGATGCCGGTCTGAATATTTATGTAATCTACATGGATATTCAAAAAACGTTCGATATGGTACCGATAACATAGCCATCGGAAGCATTTTGCAAGTGATCCGGCCATTATAGTGAGAGTGGGGTGATGGGGCGGGGGTAGGGGAGCACTTGACAAATTTAGTAGTAACTGAATAGTAGAGACCCGCTATCTATCCACGGATATATGATTTTGAAGTTAGTGATGCGTGAGAGCATTTTCATTGTAGCCCCACCATGGTTGGTAAACACCTTGTTTGGCACCTATGAATGTCCAGAAATAGATGCTGGCAACCTAGAGCCACTATCCCTTCCCCTCAAGGGACAGCCATAATATTATGTGGTTGGTATTACAGGGATCTAACTAACAAGGACCGGACTCATAATTGAACGGTTAACAGGAGGTAAAGCCTTCAACCGTACATATATATATACCTGTTATGTTGTTGATAATGATTAATAAAGATTTTTCTCTTTTGTGGTAGAATCACCACATTTTCATTATAATCATATCAGAATACTTCGTATATTACAATACTATGTTCAATATACATGAATACATTAGTTTTTTTAAATTACCTACACAATATTTTAATACATATTCGTTATTCTGTGCTCCCATTATGTGTACTATAATTTTTTTTTCAAAATTTCTAATATTTTTTGTCAATGTTTCGTTTTTCAACTACGTACATTGTGATTTTAAACGTTTTACATAAAGTTGTTGTTGATTATGTAGATGGTAATGATAATGTTGATAATGATAGCAATAATTCAAGGAATATCAAATCCGACAATACAACAAGTTGCATGTCGAAATTTGGATCTAGGTACTTATTATTGTTCAATATGATGTTGTTGATAATTATGTTGATGATAATTCTGGATGATGATGTTGTTTTGATGTTGATGGTCATCATCATCATCTGCAGTCTGCTTATATCCCACTGCTGGGCAAAGGCCTCTCCCAAAACACGTCATCTGTCTCTGTCTGTGGTGTATCGTGTTCATGTTGTTGATCCTGTTGATTGTACCAGCTAATCTCGCAATCTAGCTTTTAATCTACTCATTTTCCTTTTTATGTTGATGGTAATGATAATCAATGATAATACTAATAACAATAATAATATTGGTATAAAAACACATTCAAATACTAACGATGAAGTTGATTTGTATAATTGGTAGTATGATTAAATTGCTATTTATTGTTTCCATAGAGTTTTGGTCAGAAGGTATTCGGTAACAGTGGCTGGATCCTATCTGTTGTAGTAGCATTTTCGTGTATAGGTGCAATGAATGGCGGAGTCTTATCAACCTCCAGGTAATGCATGTATGTCATGCATTATGCGTCTTCATCCTCTGTGTGTGTCTCTCTCTCTCTTTCTTCTCTATCTCCCCCTTCTTGTTATCGTGATTACAAAGTTGTCTTTCTTTTAATCAGAATGAACTATGCCGCGTCACGTGAGGGTCAATTGCCTAAACTTGTGTCGATGATACACATTAATTACAAAACACCAATGCCGTCTGCAGTGATTATGGTATTCATTTAATATTTTTCTTAATTTTTTGTAGTGGCTTAAGTTGTTTTAACATCACTATTTTTTTTTATTTCGAATGAACTTGAATAATTTATCAAAATACAAAAAGACTAAGGATTATCCCTCAATAATAACGTTTATGTGTTATATGTCAGCGAATTTAATCTAGGTTTAACTGATTGGTTAAATGTATGTATGATTGCTTGATCTGTTGGTTGAATAATTTATAAATTCAATTGAATAATTATTTATCGCCCGATCGGCAGACTGTTTGGCTGACCACTCCAATGTGTAATAAACATTACTAGAATTTTTATTTTCCGCGCAAATTTCTTCATACAAACCTTTTAATTCATTTTAAGCTTCCAATCAGCATAATTTTGCTTGTTGGTGATAGTGTGTACAGTCTTATCAATTACCTTAGTTTCACAAGATGGTTGTTTGCCGCCCTCACCGTTGCCTCAGTACCATATTTCAGATGGAAGTATCCAGATTGGGAACGTCCATTCAAGGTTTGTTATTCTATAGGGAGCCTATTTTGATTAATGTATGGAATACTTTTTGCAATGTTGGCAGTTTAAAACGCATTGCGATGGGTATTAGGCCAAATAAAAATTAATAACCATTTAATTATCCCAGCCCGCACCGATTTTTGGTGGCGCATCGATTTTTTAAATAAAAATAAAAATAAAAAATAAAAAGGGCCTCCCTCATCGACTTTTTTTAAAAATCCCGGACGATAAACTGGTTATTTATTTTATTTGGCCTAATCAATGAGAGTAGAATTGCAAGAGGTCCAACTCTCCATATTTGCATGTACGCAATAAAACAAAATGCGAAAGTACTATCACGAGATAGAGGTCGCACTATTAGAATTCAAATAGAGTTTGAAACTCAGACATACGTTATAATAGACGCAGGTATAATTATTACAGATCAGAGATTAAAGCCTAATCAAGTTTCATAATTATTTTGTTTCTGATGTCTTTTAACTTACATGTTTTTTGAAACATCACCCCTTTTTGCCCTGTAATAGCTCAAGAAGGCAAATTATTTTGTGATATGATTATGTGATTACAGGTGGATACAAGAGAACGTCACCATTGATCCGTTCATTATGTTCACACAGGTTAACCTGTTAATACCAATCATCTTTGCCAGCTTCACTTTATTTGTAGTCCTTGTCTCCCTTGTATCAGCACCAAAGGACTGTGGGATTGGACTGCTTATTATGTTAGCTGGTATTCCAGTGTACTTGATAGGCGTGTGTTGGAAAAACAAGCCGATGTGGTTTGAAGAAGGAATAGGTAGGTTTGACTACCTCGATTTGGCAAGCATATTAAAGATTAGAATTGCCTTTACTACTTAAAATAAAAACAAAGACAAAAACATAAAATTATATCACAGACGTACCCTAATGTTATACGCTAGATATAATCGTTGTTTAAGGTGGCTGAATGCAGTATCTGTTTGGGCTTGTGGCTATTCTCACTCGAGACTAAACTTGTTTCTGACGATTGAAAAATAAATATTAGGCCTATTATTATTATTGTTAATGGCCTAATAAAAATAATAATGATAATTAGTATAATATCATTCATATAATTTATTTAATTTATGTTCATGATTATTCTATTGTTTTAAACTAATAATAATAATAATTATTATTATTATTATTATTATTATTATTATTATTATTATTATTATTATTAATATAATATCAATTATATCAACTATATCAATTTGAAATCCATTAAAAATCCTATTTTACAAAAATTATTTTCTACAAATCACATATTTTAATAAAATAATATCTATATACCTGTCTAAAATCCAATCAGATTTATATCAACTCATTGTTTTTTTGTTGTTTTTTGTTGTTTTTTTTTTTATTACCAGATAAATTCAATGCATTTGGTCAAAAACTCATGTTGGTCGTTGAAAGTGAGAAGAAAGAAGACTGATACGGGCACAACACAACTCAAAACTAAAAGGCAGTGTTTATGTAGCCGGTAGTTCGCTTAGGCCTATTATATTATTTTAGTTAGGGCAACCTCTAACTCTAACCTTAATGATAGGCAAAGTTTTAGTTTTAGCCGGTAAAATACACTAAAGGCGTTTTTGGTATAACGTTCAGAAAAATTAAACGCTAATTGTAAGCTGTGGTTAAAGAATTTAAAACAAAAATGATTTAATACGATACAAATGTCAATTCTGAGTCTATGTCTGAGTTCAGTGTATAAAAATTTACTGCATACCTACCGCATATATCTATCATAATACTCTATAGTAAACTTAAAAACTTTTAAAAACAATAATTAAATAGTACTAATTATTTCTAACTGTTTTGTACGTATTTCATGGATTATTCCTATGATAACCATGGACCTAGGTCCATGGGATAACTATGTTAACATAACTGCCTTTGGCGTTGCTCTTGTTTTAACTTACTTTTTATGTAAACATACTTATTAAGCAAATAAACAAGCTGTTTGTGATTGGCTATTACATTTATTGTTGATCCTGCAGTGTGGTTTGGCAATGTTGCTAATTCCGAAGAAGTACATAAGTATAGTCATGCGATTTAATATAAAAAGATACTCTGTTCAGTCTGTTGATATACTACACTATACCCTAGGATTGAGTAAAAAATGTATTCTGTTTTAAAGTGTAGGCTATATAATCGTGCCAATTGTTTTGCAATCAAAAATTGCAGTATCGAATGATCAAAAAATTAAAAGGCTATCAAAATCTGTATATAACCTTTAGACCTCAACAAGGAAGTATTAAATCCACTTTTGTTCTCACAAAAAACGTGATATTTTAGGGTCCTCCTATGGTCCTCGTCCTAGTAATAACAATTACGTAATAACAATAATATTTTGCCTATGTTTCGACAGGACCTTATTGAGTGTTCTTTTCTGGGGTAGGAAAAAGTCTCACGACCCTCAAAAAAGGTCGCTACCCATAGTTTAAGGAAAAAAATGAAAGCCTAATGTGTAGGATAATTGACTGTTTTCAAATTTGTATTTCTATATTTTAATGCGTTTTCGAGAACTCCTCGACAACCGATCTAATATCCTTACATCACCGGTGAGTCTTTTTCATTTACGTAATTTTTTATAGCAGATTAAAATAGAACGAACAGTGGACAGGTAGTTGAAATAGAGCAGCCTAACATTGTAGGCCTATACCCTAGACATCTCTTCTCTCTTCAAGATAAAACAAAGACAGTGAATACGAAGGAGAATTAAAGCATGAATAGTAACCATCCAATATGCCTTAAGAGAAAGGAATATTACCAGTGCCAAACCATTTCATATACTTTGCAGAATAATGAACATTAATTTCTTTTAGGACTCCCGTCCTATATTCAAGTGGTTAAAAAAGCAAGATTAGATTACTGGTTGAGAAAAGCACCAATATCATCATACGTCTCAACATAAGGCCAAAAAAATATAAATTGTTTGTTTGCTCTTCTTTTTAAAAAAATGATAAATAGAGAGGTTTTATTAATTTTTTTAACACTCATCAGATAGAATAAAAAAGACCTAGAATGGCAATATATCTTACATCAGACAACAACTTTAGACTAATTTGTAGGGCATCTGGCAAAAAATAAAGACAAATTCACTCACATTGTTTTAAATTTGAAAAGAAAAAAGCTAAAAAGAAAACTTTTTTAAAGTTTTTTTTTTAAATTTTCCGCCACTTTTTTTCAGTGATTTAGAGGCGGGTGGAGGAGGGCAAACAAACAATTTTGTTTTTGGTCTAATGAACAGATATCGCAGAAATCATGTCTAGTAAACATAACGTATAATATGTTAATAATATTTAACAAGGAATTAATTAGAGAAAACTATTTGATTTATCTATATATTTAATTCTTATCTTTAAAGACAAATTGACAACGGTATTATTAGAAAATATTGCAAAATTTATTAGATTTGCTTATTTGAAAAGAAGTTTTACGTTAACTGATTAGCGCACTTTTTAAATGTTGATTTGTCTACACGTCGGGCCATGGGCCCATATATATTGATAAATGCCTTTGATATCTAATCTAGGGGAAGAAAGAAAGTCTATGTGGGCCCATATAAATAAGCACAGACAATGAGAAGCCATTTATTATGAATTATGACAAACTAACCCCATAGGAAAAGCACGCTTTTGAAATCCAAAGTTAAGAAACTTAAAAGAAAAATATGGAAAGGGCTTTGGTCAACATAGGGTTATTAAATACACCAAGTGGTTGCTCTTTACAGTACTGCAATTACCATATTATATCAAGAGTGCCAAATGTCACTACTCCACCTTTAGGGTTAAAGAACCCCATATTGACTGATAACGAAGTAATTGTTTTCACATATTGGTCGAAATGGCAGAGTACAGGAAAGTTAGCACAATTAGTTATCAAAATACAAATAGGATTTGTCAACAGTTCAGATAATTTCAATGGGTGTGTGCTCTCACTAATATTACTTAATGCGTTAGTGTTTAACAAACTTGATAAAGCTGGGCGTTTTGGACTTTGCTGAGCCATAGACATATGTAATGAAACACATCAAGCAGCAAACGTCAGGATTTTTTCAATATGGACACACCACGGAAACAGAGCATCGAATCTAAGACGTCGATTTCAAAAAGCACAGGAGACGATGAGGGAGTTGGTCTTGTCCGTCAACTTGGAATATTTTCTTTCTCTTCTTTAATTATTGGCACGGTCATCGGTTCTGGTATTTTCATTTCTCCAAAAGGAATATTAGAATATACACATACCGTTGGGTTGTCGATGGTGATATGGATACTCTGTGGTGTTCTTTCAACATTAGGGGCGCTCAGTTACGGGGAGCTAGGCACAACATTTTCTAAATCCGGAGGAGATTTTATATATCTTTTAGAATCGTTTGGACCTATGACAGCATTTCTTAGGGTATGGACATGCCTTGCAGCCGTCAGAACAGGAACGTGGGCTGTACTTGCTATAACATCTGCTACGTATATACTAACTCCGTTTTATCCCGGCTGCCCTGTTCCAGGATTGGCCGTACGTTTACTTGCTGCGACTATAATATGTAAGTATATTTGATACATTCTGCTATAGTGAATGTACATATTAATATCTCCAGCGTTAACAATACATCGGCTAATATAATAATTTAAACACCATTAGTAGTATTATTCGTGATAATTTTCAATTCACCACATGGACTTGTATACCTTCCATATTTGTATACTCATTATTAATATCAAAGGTTGTGTTGATAATAACGTTAGCGTGATTATACTTCAGCTTATCAACTCCTTACCGAAGACGCCATAAGTAGGTAGATTATCAAAAAGCCAAATTAGCCAATAATTATGTCAAAATTTTATGTATCCGTTTGATGTTTGTGTTCCCTCCTGTATGTGGTGAATTTTATGTTTGCTGTTGGCTGAGATAATAAATAAATAAAATAAATAAAAATATGTGGTCATTGTGTGTTTAAATATGACAACAATAATGTAAATAACAACGCTAACCACTTATATATAATAATATGGTTTTTACATATAATATATAATAAAACAAAAGTCTAGTTCAAATTCCATTAAAATGATAAGCTACAAGGTGATCATTTTATTGAAAGGCAAAGAAAATTAATATAAATCAAGAGAAAAAAATGAATAGTTCCATGTTTTTACAATTATATTAATTGATTGAGAAGTAAAATCTTATAATGAAGATAATTCAGTATTGTTGAACCCTTGTAGTAAATGAAATTTCAAGGCAAGCAACTAAAACGTTAAAATGATCATTTTAAACAAGCAAATAATCATTGGCCTCTTTTATAATGTTTTAATATGCGACATATTTTCGCTGATTTACTAGTGTTTTAATATTTACACAATTAATGTTTTTTTGGGTTTTTTTTCGTGTGTGTATTGGTTGTAGAATTCCTAATTTAAAAACAAATAAAATATACGTTTTTTTAAAAATTTGTAATAAGTCAACAACGACAGATGGGTTCTATACCATATCACTATCTAAGTTTGCGTCATATCGTTTGTTTTGATTACAGGTGTGGTTTTCCTCGTGAATTGCGTCAGCGTTCCAATAACATCTCGTCTAAATGTATTTTTCACCATTGTCAAGGTATCTGGCTTGATTTTGATTGTCATTGCTGGCATAGTGTTATTAATTCAAGGTAAGCTGAAATACTGATTAACAGTTATAATTTGAATTAGTTTATCGGGAGTGAACCCCAAGATGGTAAAGTAAATACCCTTCCACTACATTTTTATGGGTACAATAATAATGATGATGATAATATTAATATTAATGATAATGATATTAAATGATAATGTTTATAATATTTAAAATATAACAATATTATATAATTAAGAAATGACAGATGTAGTCCTACTATCGAGTGAGCAATTTAAATCGAATAATTATGAACCATTTCTGAAAATCAGTCATCGTTATGAATCAGTAGTGGCTTGACACATTATGTATTGACCAAGTATTTGGGATTGAGAAAGTTGTTCATTGATATTGTACAAAATCTTGTTCGCTTTTGACGGTTATTTTATTATACAAAGGAAATACGGAAAATTTTGAAGATGCATTCCAAGGCGAAGGAAAATTCAAATGGATAGAGCTACCACTGGCCTTTTACTCCGGTCTGTTTGCATTTTCCGGATGGTATGTAAAATAAAAACAAATTCACTTTAATTAATTGCATGTAATCTTACTATAGTCGAAATGATTTGAGTTGTGGGTAGAAACCATCAATCTCAATATTAACAAACTTGTTATATACTGTAAGTGGTAATAATATGTAAAAAAAAGAACCATACTGTATTTTGAGTTTATTAAAATGAAGAGATAATAAATGTGCTGATTATAGAAGATCCGCTAAGCCCCATATCTAAAGCTGAACACTCACTGCACCGTTCTCAGCCGACGCGCGCGCAACCAATCGTGTGTAGGCCTAATAACGATCCTTTCTTTGCTGCCACCGACAATCAGCAGACAGCGTCGCGTCGTCTAGCGCTCATTTGTCGTGTGAATGTCGTACAACGCAGTGAGTGCCCGGCTTTAGAGGCACTCACTGCGTCGTGCGACGGTCGGTCGTACGACCGTCGCACGACGAATCTAGGATCGTCATTAAAAACGATCTGTTACGCTCGCGTCGTCACGTGGCGTTCTGCATAGAATCGAGTCGGCCGACGTCCATCGCACGCAGTGAGTAACACCCCCCCCCCCCTCCCATCCCCCCCCCCCCAAATCCTCTCCTGTCCATGGTTTATGGGACAAGTACAATAGGCAAATTTGATATACAGAGTAACTGATTAATGTATTATTATTATTGGGAAGTCGTTGGACAGTAAATAAAGGGCAAGTAGTAAGGTATGTTATGTTGAAGTATGCTACGCCAATTAAAACCTAAATCAGCAAATGAAACGTGCTTTTGAAAAAGAAATATCTACCAATTAAACAATGTTTTGCAAGCTGAAGGTGAGAAAAGCAGTAGAGCATTGATTTAATAAGCAGTGGTAATAAGCGTTTGGATACTAATTTTTTTGTTTCATTTTCAGGCAAATTACAGCCTCTATGACTGAAGAAGTGATTAATCCATCAAGGTAGGCCTAAATCTTGTCATAGTTCCGGTTTTATACAATAGGATATTGGACTACTCTATTGTCCTACCATTATTATTTTACACATCGAAATTAATTCTATATTTTACAGGACTCTTCCCGCTTCAACAGTCATTGCCATGACGGTAATCACAAGTGTGTACATAATGGCGAATATTGCATATTTTACAGTCCTCACACCCGCCGAGATTCTAGCATCTGATGCAGTTGCATTGGTAAGTTATCTTATACACTTTCTACAGCAGTTTCTACATAACTTACTATGTGTGTCTACAACTGTGTGTAACAATAATATTATCAATGATATGTTGGTACGCAGAAATAATTTATAAATCATATCACTGTCAACATGAAGACTGATTACTGTATTACTTTTTTCTTTTTCATAATAATAATTGGTATTTATTACTTTCATAGAGTTTTGGTCAGAAGGTATTCGGCGACTGGGCCTGGATCCTATCCCTTGTAGTAGCTTTTTCATGTATAGGTGCAATTAATGGCGGAGTTTTATCAACGTCAAGGTATAATATATGACTTTTATTTCTCTACGTTTTATCTTTCTTTCTCTCTTTCCTATCCCTTTTGTCTCTTCTTTCTCCATTTCGTCTCTCTTCATAAAATTACATTTTTTGGATTCCTTTATTAGAATGAACTTCGCCGCGTCACGTGAGGGTCAACTACCTAAGCTCCTTTCGATGATACACATTCATTATAAAACACCAATGCCGTCTGCAGTAATTATGGTAATCGATTATAATTTTCTAAATATTTTAAACATTTATTCTAACTTGAAACAAACGGATGCAGGACATCCGACAGCTCATGGCAACTAAATGTTTGGTAGTAGTACCTGTGATTTTTTATTATGCACACAAAATATCTAATTATTTTCTTTTTAGATTCCAATCGCTCTAATTTTACTTGTTGGTGATAGTGTGTACAGTCTTATCAATTACCTTAGTTTCACACGATGGTTGTTTATCGCCCTCACCGTGGGCACAGTACCGTATTACAGATGGAAGTATCCAGATTGGGAACGCCCATTCAAGGTTTGTTCATTCTTTAAGGGGTATATAAGAATCCCTATCTCAGTGTGTAGATTTTTTTTTTTTTTAGTTTAGATGAGCTAAGCAGAACTCCAAATTTAAAAAAAGTAGGAACAGGAGGGTAGAAAGTCAGCAGAGTAATAAAGAAAGTCCACCACTTACTAGACTCACCACAATTTTAAAATTTATTGATTCTTCCTAGTGGTAGAAGTTGAAAAATTTCGGAGAGCGCCACCAATATTTGTTGATACCGAGGAACTTTTTATGTTGTTGAAATTAGATAGAAAATGATACCTAGAAAAGTATAGTATGGAACGCCATTGGCGCAAAGATGTAATATGGAACTCCATTAGTGCCAAAAACGATCATTTTTATTAGATTTCATTGATTAAGACAATGTTTAGGGACTGGAATTCAGTCTACCACTAGCGTCAACCCCAAACAAGCTTTTCGAGCCGCTTCCAACCGTGAACAAACTCTTATAAAAATGTCATCTAAGGTAAATAATAATGGACTATAAAAGTGGCGGAAGTGCTGTGATTTCTGAGCTCAAAACTCGACTGATCAGTCAATCACTTAAAACGTTTAGGATTAATTGCTTCCGACAAATTTTCAACGTTGTTCTACAGAGTTTTCTGTTTCCTATAGACTGAGCCCTACGTTCCCAGAGCTGTAGTGAAATACATACAGAAATTATGTTACGAATTATATTTGATAGAATTGTCAAGTAATTGTTTTGACCCGTTCAATATTATCACACAGGTTAATTTGGCGGTACCAATCATTTTTACCTGTTTCGCTTTGTTGGTGGTCGTTGTCTCTCTTGTATCAGCACCAAAGGATTGTGGGATTGGACTGGCCATTATGCTTGCTGGTATTCCTTTATACCTGGTAGGTGTGCGATGGACAAACAAGCCGTCGTGGTTCGATGAAGGAATGGGTGAGTAGGTTTACGTAATTTTTTTTTCATTTATTTCGACTAGAATATTCAAGAACCACCTTAAATAAATTAAATAACATTGTGCTCTCATTTGTTTATTTATTTTTTGTTTGACGGTTCGTTCACACATTTCATTTAGTCATTTATTTAGTATTTTGGTTTGATCGCTCCTGTACTTTTTCGTTTACTTATACAAAACAAGGCAATGAAATGTTATAGTTTAGTTATGCTCCATGTATAAAATAATTCCAACTTAGCACAATCAATCATAAAAATAAACCTATCTTTAAATATCTATTGTTGAAATTAAAGTTTGTAATAGTTAAACTTCTCTACTGATAGAGATATCAAATATTACAGGTTATCAATCTGCATTTCCAGGAGTTACGATATATAATTTTTTGTGAATTAATGATGAGTAAACAATGTAAATGTGTGGACATTATCAAATATTTTAATGTATAAGATAATAGAATGTGTTTATATACTGTAATATACTGTATTTTTTATAATCGTATTTTTGTTTGCTTTTATTCTCCAGATAATTTCAATTTATTCTGTCAAAAATTCATGTTGGTCGTTGAAGGTGATAAGAAAGATGACTGAATGAGAAAAAAGATGACTGATAAACAATGCAACTTGTAATTACTGTATAAACCAAAATACTGGCCACTCTACTGTTTATTTCTATATTATCATAAACCATAAGGAGGAAGAAAATAAAGTAAATAATAAAGTGAGTCAGTTTAAGTGTATGGAAAAGGCGGAGTACAATAAATTGGAATATTCATCTGATTTATCAATAGAACAGTTGTAATATCTTCATTAAACTTTTATTTATGAACAGTGCAATTATTTGTCATATTGAAAGAATAAGAACAGAAATGACATTACGCCTGCTTGATGATTGTCGTCTTTTTCACTCTGTATCAAAACTAATACAGTTACCTACCCCGATAACTGCAAGAGGACCCTGTTTAAAGTCGGGACTGTATTATATTTTATTACTAATAAACATGCTGATCTCTTCAAAGAATAAACTAAGAGGTGTTGCATACGCATTGGTTAAGTGACTCACTTGTCTTTTACTATAAAATATAATGTATTACGTGAGCAGCACAAACACCTAATTATACCATTAAATATGAAGTACAGTATAAAAGTTCGATGTTGGTGCATATCTTGAAATATTTAATGTTTTAATGTTCACTGAATAAATAAATAAATAAATAAGCTCTTTGGTGGATATTGTGTATTTTATATAGTATTTATAATCTAGTTGCTAGATATAAAACACTCTCTCTTGCATGAATGTTATCATAAGTGAATAAAGAATATATCCAACATTGCTATGGAATTCATTAATATTGTAATATTGTAATTGTCACTGATAATGAGAACTGGGTTTATAAAATGCTTTGTTGTCTTTGTTTGATTCAGACCGTCTGGTAGCCTTCTATATACAATTCTTTAATACACTTTCACACTGATTCAGTTATCTCCGAAACACTTTTCATCCAATACGGATAAGTTGATTATTCACTAGGCTGTTAAATAAAGCTACACTCTACCTATATAATAGGGCAACTTAGTGCTATAAACACTCGAATTTAATGAATGAAAGAATTTAAATGCTTTGCGTATATTTTAAGTTATCATTGATTCTAACTAAACTTCTAAATGAAATATAGCTATATTTTTATACACAATTCAAGACGCTTTATGTTTGTCGCGGATTGCTCTCTTAATGTATACACCCATTAAATCACCATTCTACGCCTTTCAAACAAAAAAGAGGAATGAACCATACATCTGAAGAAATAGCGTATGACGGAAGTGGTTTGGTCCAGCGAAACTGTTTGCTTTCCCAACCTTAAGGTATCAATCCCTAGTTGTGTATTTCGCTTGTCTTTAAAAGTATACATTATGGTGGGGTTGCAGCTGCTACTGCGCCAATATGGCAGCAACACTTCAGCATTGTGGGCCCAATGACCAGGGGAAACAAAGCGCTTTGTAGCCTAAAGAAAAGGTGCCATATAAATATCAAACTTCAAATGACAAACAAAACTTAATATGGATGGTCACTGGCTCCATTGAGGTTTTCAGATCTGACAAATCTCGTTTGTAGTGTTGCTGGATGCCGACAACCTCTATTCCCGTGGGAGAAGTGGTCGTTTTATTCGAACATGGAACATATTTAACTGGACAATATAGAATGCGTCCCATGATAGCATGGACAGAACATAATTTGACTAGTTCAAGACAAACATAAAATTCAAAATTCTATAAATAATGTTATCTTGCAAAAATAAAAGTTAGATTACTGGTGAGTAGACGGGTAGGAATAGCAAATCAAAGACAACAAGCAGCATAAAACGGCGTTTGTAATCGGTAGGTCAATACAAAACAGGCATACAGTACACTCATTTCGAACTTTGTAAATCCAAAGAGACCCATTTAGTTCGGTTATCGCTAATATTACGAGATAAGTATTTACGCTATTAACTTACACTGTTATTGTATTAATATAATACTGTACCAGAACAAAACAGCACAAGATGGTTTCTCAAGTTAGTAAGCCGTCAATTTCACAACCGATATTGGAAAAAGATGAAAGAGAGACTGTGAAACTTGTTCGACAACTTGGAATACCTTCTTTTACATGCCTCATAATTGGCACAGTAATAGGTTCTGGTATTTTCATATCTCCAAAGGGAATCCTACAATATACAGGCACAGTGGGCTTATCGATGGTCGTCTGGTTTTTAAGCGGTGTCCTATCTACCTTAGGAGCACTGAGTTACTGTGAACTAGGTACCATGTTTTCAAAAGCTGGTGGTGATTTTATCTACCTTTTGGAGTCATACGGACCGATGATGGCTTTTCTCAGAGTGTATACTTGTATAATGGCTGTCAGGACTGGAACGTATGCGGTTCTAGCAATTACCGCAGCTACTTATCTCCTAACTCCTTTCTACCCAAACTGTACTCTACCTGACCTGTCTGTTAGACTGCTAGCTGTAGTTATTTTGTGTAAGTAGGCCTACATTCTAGACTACTACATATGATTTTTCAAAATACAGTACTTTTTTAAATTCTAATAAGATAATTCAGTATGATACTGCATGTAGATATCTAAGTAAAATTTAGTTTATTCATCCGAAATAAGCCTAATTCTTGATGTACGCCTAATTTTATAACTTTACTGCTTCTGACTCTACACTGATACTCAGTAAACTATACTTCCGTTATTCTTGTTGAGGTATATTCACATCACAAGTGCACCCGAACAGTGATCCAACTGGTACCTAATTAACCACTCAGCGTGTTCTTCAACTTAGGTGTATTATTTGTTGTGACTAGTGTAAGTGTACCGCTCTCATCTCGTCTGAACATGTTCTTTACGTTTGTGAAGATTGGTGGTTTGATACTAATCAGTATAGCAGGAATAGTTTTACTTATTGAAGGTTTGTTCAACAGCATTATATTCTACACATATTTTGCCTAGAATCAACCACCAAACGGCAACGATAAAAATTCCTAAATTATGAACTTGATTGTAAACTTTATTGAGTTCATTAATACTAAATTGATTTTCATTGATACGATATAAATTAATTCTAAACATTAATTTTAGTTTTGAAAAAGGAATAGCTTGATACACATATTTAGAGATGTTGAAAATTCACATAATAAATTCTAGTCATTTCAATTTTAACCATCATCTTGAAAAAATATATATAAATAAACCAAATAGACTACATCTAAATCAATATAATAAAATATGTTATTACCATACCGGTACACATACTATAGATGACCGAATTATTGATAGATACTAAAAATGTAATTTTAATAAATTGCGTAATATATTTTCTTATTAGGAAACACCGAAAATTTTGAAGATGCTTTCGAAGGTACAGAGTTTAAGTGGATTGAGCTTCCGTTGGCATTCTACGCAGGACTGTTTGCCTGCTCCGGCTGGTGGGTGAAGTTTGGTTCACACTTAAGCTGCATTCACATCGGATCCGAACCGAAATTCGGACAGCGTTTCCGGGGCGCCAGCGTCCGTATTCTTATACACTGATCCGATTTTCTGATCGGTTCGGTAAGCTTTCCGAACTGAAAATTCAGACTCGGTGTGAATGCATCTTTAAGCAGTATAGTCGCGTTATGCAAGTAAGGCACTACTCCCGTGTGCGTTGCTTCGTTTGCGTAAAGGGAAACTAATTTAACTAAGTAACATATACTTTGAATTTTTCCAATAAAAAAACACATAATTACCAAACCAATTAATCATAATTCCGTGTTCATTTGAAAACAAAAATGTGTATGTTTCATTAGAAAATCATCTGTGGTTTCATTAGAATGTCTTGAATATTTACGTTAAGTAAATTGTAAAAGTGTCATTACAGGCAAACTACTGCATCTTTAACGGAAGAATTAATCAAACCAGCAAGGTGAGGCAATTTCCAATTTCAATCTTTACTTTTGTTCTATATTGCCTATATAGGCCTACAACTCTGTTAGCTAAATGGCCAGCAACTGATACAAGATACTTTATTGTCCAATTTGTTTTACACTGTCATGATAAATGGTGAATATATAAATAGATAAGTGTTACAAAAATACTTAAAATTAATACATAATACACAGATTGCACATAATAACACTTTACTTATTACGATTTACTATAGGCCTAAATTGAGCTAGGGATGTATTGTCTAAAACGAGATATTTTTGTCCGGGAGACACAGAGTGTAGTAAATCAACCCCTAAGCTTAAAATTAAGTTCCTAACTTACCTATAGATGTCTGATATTCTGAAAAGGCGTGTTTGCTAACCAGATTCTTGATATGCTCCAGAGCAACAGTTTACTCGTCTCCAGTTACTTACAATATTTATCAACCATGACCGTCATCTATGTTTACGTAAAGCCCTGTCAAGACTATCAAATAATGGCCTAAATATGATAATGATGACATCACATCGTCACCATATATAGACACATTGTGACTATATATGGGCATACAACAGTTTTCGTGAAATTTGATAGTCTGGACAGAACTTAACTTAATTTAATTTTATAGAACTCTTCCTGTGTCAACATTCATTGCGATGGCAATCATTACGAGTGTCTGCGTCATGGCCAATGTTGCCTACTTCACGGTGCTTACCCCAGCTGAAATACTTGCCTCGGATGCTGTTGCACTGGTACGCATCCTAATTTTTTTAGGCCTGGATTAGAATACGCTCATGTTTATGTCATGCAAATGTAAAATATTATACACCAGGTAAACTCAATACGTTAGACCAGGAAGTCAAATTGTTTCATGCAAATCCAACGCAATACTGTATTGGAAATAGCGCTATGGTTTTTTAAATAATTATACAAAATCAAAAGCTAAATATCTTCAAAATGTTTGTACAAAAATAAAAGCATAAACAAAAAATAATAAATGTCCAGATATTATATTACTACCACTGCCATTACAGATTTAAAATAGTTGATTAAGCCTCATTTTATTATCTTTAATTTTCATATTATAGACATTCGGCGCAAAGGTGTTTGGAAGTTGGTCATGGATTTTGTTAGTTGTTGTTTCGTTTTCCTGTATAGGGGCAGTTATTGGTGGTGTATTTTCTACAGCAAGGTACTTGTTTTGTTCATAGCCATTCATATATGCTAAAACTTCATTTCGTAGAATTGTCAAAAGATACAAAGCAGGCAATATATCTGTGTAATCAACTTATATGTGATACACATATTACCGTACGTCCTTGATTTAATGATCCTAAAAATTAACTCACATAGACCCAAGTAAATATTATCATCTAAACAATAGCGTCCCATTATTAAAATATTATTTTCTATAAAATTCATATAGGCCTAGGGCCTCTGTATAGCAACCGTTAACGTTTACGTGGAAAGGTAAAAATATGTTCATGATGAGATGCGACAGTATTCCATCTTTGTATCTATTGAAACAGGATGAGTTTTGGAGCGGCGCGAGAGGGCCAGTTACCCATATTATTTTCAATGATTCACATTGAATACAAGACGCCGATGCCAGCAACATTAATCATGGTAAGATTAAAATATAATATAAAATCACATGATTCATTTTTTAACTAATATAATTTATAAAAATCAGTGAATGGTTGACTCCATACAGTTATCAAATAAAAACCCGTTAAGCTCTCTCTACACTATCAAATTTTATGTGACAAAAATGTGATGTGCCCATATATGGGAACGATGACGTCATATAACATATTATCAAATTGTATCAACAAAGTTAAAAGTCTTCAACTCTATGTTCCATCACATTTTATGTGACGGTTTTTTGATGTAAT